CCACCACCACCACCACTAGGGGAGAATTGGCCGATGTGGTGAGGGGACATTTGACCCTGACTTCAGACCACTGGTTTGAAGTTGGTGCAGCTGAGGCAAGTGGCAGCACAAACATTAACAATGCAAATGTTTCAAAAGTAGGCGCCAGTTAGTCAACCGAATGTACAGCAATATGCAGGTATGCATTGTGACCAACTCAACTAGTAGCATCAATTATCCAAATTTACGCAAATATACTCAAAAGAAAACTAATAGAGCACAATCGCCAACAAATTTAAAACAGGGATCCACGCATTTGAGACAAATTGTTTTAGAAGTGGTAATGCAAACTCGAGTTACACTGTTTAGCTGCAGTGCTGTGTTGCCGCAGCAGTATTTAGCAGCTGGACTACTGTTTTCCACTTTGCGATTGCTGAGGCAGCCTAAACTTCTGAAATGGCAACAAAATAACTTTAGAGAAGCTTACAAAGGCAAACTCAGCCTTAGGAAGGAGCATCGGAAGCTGTCACCATACACGGGCGATATATGGCAATAATGGAATCGGTTGGATGAATTGAGTGGGTAGCTATGGTGATAAAACGAAGACTGAGGAGGGGTGTTAAAAGGCGTTCGGAAGTGACGGTAGCGGAAGTAGGATGTGTTGGAGTATGCATGTCACAAACTTTCGCGCTACCACCATTTCTGACCCAATTTCACCACTGTCATTTCCATCTTTGCTGCTTTAGTCATTACTTGGACTGCGTCGGCCACTACCTCCATTCCATTTACCTTAAGTTTGACTACCTCCACGTCCATCTTCACTACTCCAGCTGCCAACTTCACTACTTGGAACAATGTCTACTCTTCCACAATTGTCCGATTAATTGCCACCGCCTTCATCAACTTTGCCATGCCCATCTGTTTCGACATCCTCTAACCCGCACTTATTCCTCTTGCTGTCTCTTCCACCACGACCGTTGCCGTCTCATCCGCCTACACTACTGTTACTTGCATTATTGCTAATGTTATAATCCCACAGTCCATCTTCAATGGCAATTCCTAGCGCATCCACAGCTAAACCGTTAAATGCTGCAGTACCAACTCTTCACTGCAAGTGGAAAGTCAGTATTGTCAATGGCGTCATAAAAGTAGTATTGTACACTTCAAGGTGCACATGCATGAGGAAAAGAGAAGTCGGTGAAGAATGTGTTA